CCCCCAGGTCTCGTGGGCGGACCCCAGGGCCTGCCCAGGCCAGTCGAGCGCCGTAGTCGCTCTAGCGTGTCCTGCGTCTTCCCCGAGGTCTTCTCCCAGAGGGACAGAACCCCGAGGGAGGCGTCCGGGGGCATGCGATGTAAATGACCAAGCCACCTCAGTTGACTCCTCTTGATGTGGAGGAGCAGCCGCTCTACTTCAAGCTCTTCCCATGTGACAGAGCTCCTCACCCTATCTCTAAGGGATCGCCCTGCCACCCTGCGGAGAAAGCTCATTTCGGCCGCTTGTATCCGTGATCCTGTTCTTTCGGTCATGACCCAAAGTTCATGACCATAGGTGAGGGTAGGAACGTAGATTGACCGGTAAATCGAGAGCTTTGCCTTTCGGCTCAGCTCCTTCTTCACCACAACGGACCGATATACCAATCTGCTTGTCAATCTCACGTTCCACCCTTTCGTCACTCGTGAACAAGACCCCAAGATACTTAAACTCCTCCACCTGAGGCAGGATCTCCTCCCCAACCTGGAGGATGCAAACCACCTTTTTACACCTTGACTGATCTAACTGTGTGGCAAGGAGCACTGTCCTGCTGGAAAAACCAGTCCTCCGAGTTGAGGAACATGGTCAGAGTAGAAGGAAGAAAGATAACTTTGTACATGGCTTGATTCATCTGTCCTTCGCAAAGATTAATCTGCCCAATTCCAGCCTTGCTGAAGCATTCCCAGATTATCACCGATCCTCCACCAAATTTCACAGTGGGTGCGAGACACTGTGGCTCGTAGGCCTCTCCAGGTTTTCGTCGAACCATTAAACGGCCAGGTGTTGGCCAAAGCTGAAAATTGGTCCCATCAGAAAAGATGACCTTACTTCAGTCCTCTATGGTCCAATCCTTATGGTCTTTTGCAAACACCAGCCTGGCTCTTCTTAGCCTCTCATTGATGAAGGGCTTTATTCTAGCTTTGCATGACTTGAGGCCTGCCTATGGGAGCCTGTTTCGAATGGTTCGTGCCATGCACTTCAGCACTCCAGCTGCCAATTGCCATTCTTTTTGTAGGTCAGTTGATGTCATCCTACAGTTCCTGAGTGACATCCGGATGAGTTGGCAGTAATCCCGGTTGGTGGAGAGTCGTTTTTGCCCTCTGCCAGCCTGCAGCTTTGTTGTCCCCAGTGTCTGCTGCTTGACCTTGTTCTTATGAACCGCTGTCTTAGAAATTTTAAGGATGGAAGCAACCTGACGCTCACTGTATCCTTTTCTTTTCAACTCTTTTGGCATGGTCAGTAGTTATTTTTTATATATTATGTTATTTTTGAGATACTACTACCACTCTTTTTGCCATCCAGCTGGACCTATTGCAAGAGGATAGTGATGACCACACCAGTGGTTTTTATACTTTTCCTTGTTAAAGTTCACGTGTTCACCTAATCAATACCTCATTAAGTAGATTTAGGTGTGCCTGTGTTGGAATTCAACAGACACTAGATTGGAATGGCTGTTAAACATGTAGAGATGCTGTTTTCAGGAAAAATTTAAGTGGTCTCTTAATTTTTTCCAGAGCTGTATATATATATGTGTGGGTGTGTGTTTATGTGCATGTGTTAGGCTGACAAAATGAGAGATTAAAAGCTCATCAGCCTTCATATAGAAATTAAGAAGTTTCCTAAATGAGAGGTGAAACGTATCATTGTTGCCTGATTCCAAACTGCTGCTGATCTCTGAATATGTCTGTAATTTTTTTTAATTTCTAATTCCTGGTATTTCATTGAATCTCAGATTTTTATTTTGACATGAATTCAAATAGAACATTTCCTAATAATAAAAAACAAAATTGCTATGCATTCCTGTCAGAACTCCCCCAACTGTGGTATATTTCGCAGCTATTAACCACAGCTGGATCACACACATTGTTTGTCCCACGTGGGGTGTCTTTTCACTAACTGTTAACCTTTTATTAACTCACCCATGGGCCCACATGGACATGCTGACTGGGTATAAAATTTTGGGTCATGTAATTCCTATAAGTGGTATCAAGCAACAACATCTAGCACAGTCACTTCTTCTTCATGTTAAGGTGTGTGCACATGCATAGAGCAGGATAAGAAGTACTTTTGTTTTTTTTATACATAGAAAAGATAATGTAAATAAAAACAAACATAAATAAACAAAATAAATAAAGACGCTGCCAAAAATCATAAAAAAGGAGGAATAAAAAAATGACAGTAGGAGAGCAAAGACACTTTAACTTCAACTACAATGACCTTAGAGGGAAATACTTAAAACAACCATTGAAATCATGTGAGTCTACAAAACAGAAGAGTGCAGGTAAGTGAGAAACAATGAGGAAATGAGGGAATCACAGATATCATCTCGGCATGTAGTCCTCAGGAACTCCAGACATGTTTCTCTTCTTCAAGACAGCATCTACTGTTCTGATCAGCTCATTGATGTCTGCTCTCATTTCGTCCGTGTAGGGGTCGTACTCAAGTTTCCTTAGCACCGATCTTTTAAAGTTTCCATCTTTCTGGCCCTCCACACAGAGCAGACGTTCCTCTGAGACCTTCAGACCCAGAAATTGGACCATGCCCTTCAGCTGGGAGAACAGGTCTCTCTTTAGGTTCTCAAAATGGACCACGTGGACACTCTTACCATAGTTCAACCAGTCCAGTGTGTGGGAGGCCCACCATGGGGCGTAGTTCTTCACAAACTCAGGCCATTCTGTGGGAAAGAGGAAAGAACAAAGAATCATTCAACAGAGATGATCGGCTGTCAGTACAATGAGATACAATGAAACTCATGACCAAACAAATGACCATCATCAACCATCAATTGCTTCCTACAATATTTTTTATTCTATTTTTTATCTAGCTTGTGTGCTTTTGTTCAGCTATTTTGTTTACTTCAACCTGGTTTTAACCATAGATCAGAAAAGATAATTTTGTGAAAAAAATAAATTTAATGTATTGATTGTTAAAAGTTAACAGTCACAATGTAGAGGGTTTCTTTTTATAAAAATGTTTGTTTATAATAGTTAATATCAGCTCAATACAAATACTCAATAAAACATACAAGGCAAATCTGAATATTTCTTAACCTAAAGAATACTGAGGATAAACAAAATATTTATAGTGATCATCAATTAGTTCCTCTACTATTTTTGTAATTTAATTTATGTATTGCTTTTCTTTAGTTATTTTTATTTATATTTTTTTACTTCAACTCAGTGAAATATTCTGGTTTTATCGGGAGATAAATATAAAACATCCAAAAATCCAAGATAATTTCTCCTAAATTCTCTTCACACTAACTCCCTAGACGACTGTTGTTCCAAAACACCTATACTCCCTGGGAACAATGGGAAGATTCCCAATCTACATCCTTACAGGGAACCCCGAATCCATCCACTCCTTTTGATTTACATAAAATCAAAGAAGTTGTTGTTTGATCCTTTTGTGGCAGTAGCTGTGCTGCATGAGTGCACGTCTTTACTGTTGGGAGAGGCTGCAGTTACATTTTAAAAGTCTGCTGAGTTTGCAGTGCTGTCCCAGAAATCATAGACTGGGGACATTTGAGGACCAGAGTTTGCCAAATATTATATTCTGCATCTAAAAAGCACAGGTAGCAACATTCTGACGTCTGACCACAGCTCTGGCCAGTCAGCCAGTCAGTCAGGATATGTTGAAAATCCGTAAACTTTGTGCAGAGAAAGAGTTCTGAAATGTAGAACTCATTTATAACAGTGCATTAGTCAATATGTCCGTCAGACACACAGGAGGTGTAGAACTCATTTCTAGTGTTTGATTCCCCAGTCTGTCTATATGTTTATCTCCCCACTTTTGCTTAAATAACTTTGCCCATTGTTTGATCAATATATGATTATTTTTAAGTAATGCTATATATTTTATGAGGTAAAATAATATATTTTTCAGTTATGTCCCCCTGTAGGCGAAGACTGTGGAAGAGCATCAACACTGATGGACTGCTGTTATTGGAGTGAAAAAACAAATCCAAGTGCTGCTTCAAATAAAGGAGAATTCATATCCAGTATTTATTCTTCACGGATTTATACAGCAGCGGGCTGTGTGCTGTGCATTCCCTACCAAGTGCGTTAGTTTACATTCAGAGCAGTGTTTCAATGTTATCAGAAAAGCTTAGAAAACATTTTTTCCACTACAGTAAATCAGTGTAGAAAAACTGCTTTTATGACTTTGAGCGAAGAAGAAAGTGATTATAACTTTAAAAAAAAAGTTCTATGTGGTTGTTAAAATTGTCCTCCTTAGATTAAAAAGATGCCATTAATCTAAAAGCTAATTTGAGTTTCTTCTGTTGTTATGGTGTGTGGTAGGCTGCTCAATTCTTTCATTTCTCATTTTTTTGGAACTGATTCTTGCTTGGAACATGGAAATGGATTTGACACCACTTCCCAACATTTGTCCTCAAACTGACGTTTTCCACCTAATTAAATGCACTTATAGTACAATGGTGTTTTTGTTTCTTCACCATTGTGTTGGTTCCGTGGAAAAGTCTCCATTATCAGAGGAGAGTTAAAAACAACAGTTCTTAGTCCCTTCGTCCTCATTTTAGACTGAACAATAAAATTAACATGGCTGAATATACATTTTTAATCTGAATTATCACAGAGTAGTTATTGAAAAATCATAATAAATCCAGATCTAATTCAACATTACTGAATATGACAAAGGCTTAGATGTTTTCAGTATATTGCTGGAACAGAAAGACAAATAACTGCAGGTATATGTTTGTGTTTCACACTTGGTTTTCATTAGTGACTGATTGAAAGAATGGGAGATATTAATATTGTAAAATGTCCAAAACAAATTCTTACTCAAAAGCCAAACTTAAAACAAGCTAAGTGCTTAGATGAAAGTTTAGTCATGTCATAATCAGCCTTGATTAGAGTAAGGATGTGTATGGACAGCAGAGTTATTGGATATACAATATGTGTCATTCTGTGCATGTAAAAATATCGCTAAGTTAACATTTCCACGGTAATAAATATAAACATGTTTTTGGTAGTTACCTTTTCCTTTCCAGTGAGCCTGTGAGGCAAACCCAATGTGACCTCCATATTTTCTGTTAAACTCTGCCATCAGGGCTTTGTACGGGTTCCGGATCATGAGGATACTGGAGTCAAAGGATTTGATCTCCTTCCTGGTGCCCTCATGTGTCTTGATGCAGATGGTCCTCCCGCTCCTCCAGTGATCACGCTCCCCTTTAAATCCTGAGAATCCACAGGTTGACCGCTGTCAATATTGTTATCCCGAGGAATCACTTCACAGTTAATGATTAACTCAGTGAAAATAGGTCCTGGTACTGTGATGATGATAAATCTCAGATTGGAAGCTGCTCCTGTATATACAAGATATAACTCAACTTTACTGTAATTTTTCTGAATATATGGTACACACCCAGAATTAATGTGCAGGTTCTAGTGCAAAAGGCATAGCAACAGTTACAGTATATACGTATAAGATGTATAGAGTAGTACAGAATATAAAAATATAATAAATATATGTTCGTGAAAAGTGACTATGTACATCTATATAGAAATATATAAAGTGATGGAGATGTATTTGAAATGTCCAGAGGTTCACAGTGAGGTTCACCTTTATTGTAAAGATAGCCATCAAAGTAATAGCTGCCGGTGTAGAAGCCGGTGGCGAGCTCAATGAGATGGCGAGCCCAGGTGTTACCAGCTCCTGGGAAACTGGCGAGAGCCACCAGCTGCTTAGCCTGAGTCTGGAGGAAGTGGCGGTCCATGCAGCGGTTATCTAACAGAGGAAGAGTCAAAACAAGAGAAAGAATAGAAACAGAAGAAGAAGAAGAAGACCAATGAACACTTAAAATATTTCTAGGGCTGAAGGCCAAGATGCTGCCAAATATTAGACATTTAGAGCAACACTATCAAACATTAACAAATGTTGGAAGTGAGTCACTTTGGTTTCATCATAGTGTTGTAATTTCTTAGAAATAACAACATGGTGAACAACACAAACTGGAGAAACGTGTTAGATTTCAGTGGTTTTCACATTTGGTTTGGGTCTGAAAGCAGGAAGCTGCTAAGACGCCAAAGACCTTCCCAAGCACACACACTCACATAGCCCCAAACATTCAAAGAGAATTATTCCTAAATTCTCTTCACACTAACTCTCTAGACGACTCCCTGTTGTTCCAAAACACCTATACTCCCTGGGAACAATGGGAAGACTCCCAATCTACATCCTTACAGGGAACCCCGGATCCATCCACTCCTTTTGATTTACATATAATCCATCCATCCATCAATCCATTTTCATGCACTTATCCATTACCGGGTCACGGGGGCAGCAGTCGCAACCCAAATCACATTGCACCGTACCACCCCCCCAAACCTTCCTGCAGGTGGTGAGTCCACTGGAAGGTACCAACCTCCCTAACCAGGATTTGAACTTGCCCAGGAGGTGAACCCTGAGGTTCCACACCCAAGACAGAGACATTGCCTCTGGGCCAAAGCGCCACCATAAAATCAAAGGAGTTATTGTTTGCTCCTTTTGTGATAACACCTTGCTCAGTGACAAAAGGTTCATAAACATGTCCTTCAACACTGCTGAATCATGGAGCAGCAGCGCCACATAGTCGTGACTGCAGGCACAACCATGATACAATAACAATAATATGATTGGCCACAAGAGGCCTAACCTCTCTCTTACATTGGCCTACAGCATTTAAACACAAACCCGGGAAGTCGAAAACCACTCCCCCCAGACAGGTATATCAGCGTAAACCACTAATGATACATTGGAAGTTATTCTTGAGCACAAGTTTAGTTCTTGACTTTGCGTACTGGTAACTGTTGTACGAGATTTTCTTGAATACTTCTCCAGTCGTTTCATTTTACTCGTTGGACCTGTTTGTTTTGGCGTTTTGTTATTAAACGAATTGACCATCTACCGGCTGTTTCATTCCTTGCCCGAGACTACCCACGAGAAGATTTCTTCAATTTTGGTGCTGTGACTACGGGGAGAAGAAATCCTCCGATTGGTGTCGTGCTCACGAATGAAGAAGGGCCAAATCGTTCAACTGGGGCTGTGACCCAGATCGAAATACAGCAAGAATCTTTCACATGTCTAAAACCTAGAAATGCGCAAAAAGGCATTTAACACGAAAAAGAAAAGTATATATTTGTTTGATTGGTGCAGACTTCCACTATATTCATTTATCTTACTGCAGCATGTTTTAAGTTACAGTATATGGTTTGTGTGTGTGTGTGTGTGGGGGGGGTATATGTTTCTGTGTGTGTGAGTGTTTTCTATTGACTTCTGTCTGCGGTCTTGCCATTCCGTGTCACAAGTGTCTTTCTGATAAACAACAAAATCAGCTAATTATTGTGTAGCTAACAGAACAGTAATATAATGTCAACAGCAATAATCGAATCGAATCAATCACGATTATGATTGTACAGTTTAACAAAGAATCATATCCAATAATGATATATAATAATAATAATTATAGTTCAACCTTCCAGTGGACTCACCACCCGCAGGAAGGTTTAGTGGGGTTGGTATGGTGCAATGTGATTTGGGTGGCGACTGCTGCCCCCGCGACCTGGTAACGGATAAGCGGATGAAAATGGATGGATGGATGGATGGATAATTATAGTTCATTTTAGATTTCATAATATCCACTAAAGTATTTATGCTAATTAACTAAAAGCAATACATAATGGTATTGTAAAAAAAAATGTGTATGTGGGCTGTAATCTATTAAGTTATGTATTTAATTTATTTAGTTGTTCTTGCTGCCATGAGCACTTATCTTTAGTAATAATTTAAACCACAGATTTAATTTAATTAAATCCTCAGATCCTACGGAAGATTAAAGAGTTAGAAGTCAGGATTATTTGAGTCTTATCAATCAATAATAACCATAGGCCTAAATTCGAGCAGACAGTGAATCTAAGCCGAGTGTGTAAAAAATTAAAGACCGCCTCAGGTCGTCTGTTGTGTCTGTCTGTAATGAGTGAGTCTGTCTGAGCTCATCTGTGAAGACGCTCAGGATAGAGAGCAACGATCAATCAGTGTTTTAATAACCTGTGGATGGAACGCCAAAAAATCAATTACTGTGATTTTTACACGGCCTACCACAGCTTTAGTAATAAGTAAAATAATAAGTGATAATGATAATGATCATTAATCAGATCTGTCAAAATTAACACGTCAACTGCAATAATTACATTTTTAAAATTGATCACATAAAATTTTAAATGCATTTTGATGCAGAATGATGCACACTTTCATTTAAGCACAATGTGGGGAAAAATTCAGGGAAACCATGGGTTTTAAAATACCTATGGTTGTGGGTACATTTACATGCTGTTATTTATCTTTCTGTCATGTTCAGAAATGTTGATTTAGCTCAATTAATCATTAATCTACAGCTACCCTATAAGTATACAGATTAAAATTGTTGATCATATGAGACTCCATATATACAGTATATATACTGTATATAAGACTTTGAATCTGGTCCAGGGTTCAAATTGGAATCCTAACTCACTACGTATTAGACTCTTGTTCTGGGTTGGCTGTTTGGTTAACGTCCCTATGAGTTGACTGTGGTCAGTAGGAAATAAGTCATCTTTTAACTAGAGGTTTTGTGGGTCAGTTCCAGCCCCTACATGCCAATATGGCAAGACATGTAACCTCAAGGTGCTGGTGTTGGCTGTGTGGCAGTGTATGAAAGTGTGGCTCAACTGTGGAGAACGTGGAGTAAAAGCCTTTGACTGGGAACCAAGAACATAAATGTAATAGACTAAGAGTGGAGAAAAGAAAAAAACAATACCTTGGACTTGTGTCTGATAGACTACAAAGTACTCATCGTTACCACAGCTCTCAAACTCCTCCCCCTGACAGCGGTGCAGACACATGTCCTCGTCCTCCAACTCATGGAGGGAGAAGAAAGGTGTGGGAAAACCGCAGTGACACCAATCTCCAGCCAGAACAGCCAGCGATTTCTCCTGAAATATGACTGCTGTTCAATAAACTGCAGACACACCGACAGGAACATTGACTCCCACTAAACCAAAAAGGGAGGGGGGTGGGGGGTCTCACCCTCTCTGTGCATATGTCCACGCACTTGTCCACAGACATGTTCAGGATGACTGCGCTGAAGGGGAGTGCCAGTGTGACATTGTCCGGACGATGAAAACAACCCTTGAAAATTGCACTGCCATCTGAAAGAGACAAAACAAAATGATATTCATGACTGGGTTCATACAGAGTGACGACTGAGCACAGTTTCCATCAGCTTGTCCTCTGACCACTGACCCCTGATGCAGCGTTCCCACTGGTGTTACAGTCTACTGAGTCTCTCGCTGAGCCAACAGTGATTATTGCCTTTAACCTAAGGTCTCCTTTTTGCTTTAAGAGTCGGCCATAAATCACCTCAGCAGAAAGAGCTGCTTACTAGGAGCTGGGTTTTTAACCACTTTTAATATGCTCTCACTTAGTTGTGTGTGCATAATTACACATCTAGTGGGCAATAATTTAATTTTAGCCTCGAGGTTGCATCAGAAAAAATGAATCTGTCAAAATCTGACACTCTAATATCTCCTTGGAGATTCACTTTCCACACATCCTAACATGACGCACACTGATGTGGCCTGTTATCCCCTGTCTTTCCCTGTGGTAGTGTATGAACATAATTGTTGTTATTTAGGTCCATAATCCTTCCTGAGTCTCTCTGAGTGTAAGCTGCACCAGGAAATTTCTCTGTATACTGATGGACAAAGTGATACATTCACAAAGCCAAGTACGGACAAGTGAGGCCCAAAGAGTCTGCACTTACTTATCTGCCTTTGATAAAAATAAATAAATAAATAAATAAAAAGAATACTTTATATGTCTGTGTAGGTTCTCAGCTATCCAGGTCATTTAATCCAAAAATAGTTACATCGAGGGCAACTAGACGGAGTAGGTTTTTTGAAGATGTTCCACCTCTCATGTAAAGGGCTTCTTTAGTTCTGAAGTTTCACCTGTCTTCTTCAGAACTGAAGAAGCCTCTTGGATGAGAGGTGAAATGTCTTCAAAAAAACCTACTCCGTCCAGTTGCCCTCGATGTAACTATTTTTGGAATACTTTATAAGGTATTACTGTACACGACGAGGACAGAATAACCTGGATGGGGAACAATTTTTCTGATATCAATACGGAGAAGATTCTTGGTGCAGCTGACCAACAACCTTCAGATTCTGCAGCAAAGCTTTAGATATATACTGTACCACAGGCTGAAAACATGTGGTCTACATCAGCATGAGTTATATATAAACAACTGGCATCTCCCAAGGTCCTTTTTGACGTTTGAAAAATGTTAGCTGGTAAAATAAAAGGATGCTGCAATTAAATTTTAAACCCAGAGACAAAATTGAAATGTCTAAAGTTTAAAGATAAATTAAACTGCAAATGTTGAAAAAAATATTTTTTTTTCTTGAACCCTCTCTGTTTAAAAAAAAATAGAAATAAAAAAAAACATGTATCTCGATGGATAAAAGAAAGCGATGGGTGGACTCTTTCTGGAAATAAATGTTCTTCAGGCCCCTCCAAACATCACGCGTCTTGTTCTGCCCCAGCTGCTCCTCAAGCTTCTCCTTGTAGGTGTTCTTGGCCTTCCTGATCTCCTGCTTGAGCTCCCGCTGTATTATTTTAAGCTCATCCCTGTTCCCTGAAGCAAACACCCTCTTCTTCTTGTTCAGCAGAACTTGAAGCTGGGGGGTCACCCATGGCTTGGTGTTGGCAAAGCACCGCACCCTGCGGGTTGGTACGGTGCTCTCCACACAGAAGTTCATGTAGTCCGTGATGCAGTCAGTGAGGCCATCGATGTCATCTTCATGAGTGCTGCAGAAAGTCTCCCAGTCTGTCGTCTGGAAACAGTCTCTCAGCCTCTCATTGGCCTCCTCATTCCACATCCTCACATTCTTCTTCTGTGCAGGCTGCCTTCTCACCATGGGTGTGTATTCGGGGCGCAGATACACCAGGTTGTGATCGGAGCGGCCGAGTGGGGGGAGGGGGGCGGAGGTGTATGCGTATTTTGCATTTGCATACAAAAGGTCCAGCGTCTTGTTCTCCCGGGTGTGGCACTTCACGTACTGTGTGAACGTGGGGAGGGTGGAGGACAGCGAGGCATGGTTGAAGTCCCCACTGATGAGCAGGAGGGACTGCGGGTGCAGTGTCTGCAGTCTGGACACCGAGTTGTGGAGCAGCTCGCACGCAGCCGCTGCGTCGGCTGACGGAGGGATGTAGACTGTAAACACAATCACGTGCGAGAACTCCCTCGGGATGTAGTAGGCGCGGATGCCCACCGCAACAAGCTCAATGTCCTTTGTACAGAGTTGTTCTTTGATGGAGACGTGCGCGGGGTCGCACCATCTCTCATTCACGTACACCATTAGTCCACCGCCTCTCTTCTTCCCGGCCACATTTCTGTCCGCTCGAACCATTTCAAAACCGTCCATAGAAACGATCGAGTCTGGCGTCATCTCCGTCAACCAGGTCTCCGTGAAGCACAGCAGGCTGCACTCCCGAAACTCCCTCTCATGCCGAATCAGCGCCGCGAGCTCGTCCGTCTTGTTTTGAATGGAACGGACGTTTCCCATAATAACAGACGGAATGAATGGTCTGTACCTCCGTTTCCTCTCCTGAACATTCCGTCCGGCTCTGCACCCCCGTCTCTTCCTTCTTATTTCCACCGGAATCTCCGCTTTACCGGCGAAAGGAAGAGTGGTGTTGCGCAACGCCATCAGCTGGTCCCTGGTGTAAACAATGGACCCACTGAGCGTTTCAGCCGACGATGTTCCAAAAAGTGCAGAAAAAAGAAGGAAACAGACCACCAAAGTGATAAAAGTGGTCCTGTTCTGACGGTGACGGTCACATGATTTGACCACAAAAAAGAAATAGTACAAAACTAAAAAGAAAGAAGGAAAAAAAGTAAGAAAAAGTACTAAGAGGAGGAGAGCTACTGTACACAGCTGCTGCTCGTGCAGCGCCATCTTGGATAGGAATAAAAAGAATACTTTATATGTCTGTGTAGGTTCTCAGCTATCCAGGTCATTTAATCCAAAAATAGTTACATCGAGGGCAACTAGACGGAGTAGGTTTTTTGAAGATGTTCCACCTCTCATGTAAAGGGCTTCTTTAGTTCTGAAGTTTCACCTGTCTTCTTCAGAACTGAAGAAGCCTCTTGGATGAGAGGTGAAATGTCTTCAAAAAAACCTACTCCGTCCAGTTGCCCTCGATGTAACTATTTTTGGAATACTTTATAAGGTATTACTGTACACGACGAGGACAGAATAACCTGGATGGGGAACAATTTTTCTGATATCAATACGGAGAAGATTCTTGGTGCAGCTGACCAACAACCTTCAGATTCTGCAGCAAAGCTTTAGATATATACTGTACCACAGGCTGAAAACATGTGGTCTACATCAGCATGAGTTATATATAAACAACTGGCATCTCCCAAGGTCCTTTTTGACGTTTGAAAAATGTTAGCTGGTAAAATAAAAGGATGCTGCAATTAAATTTTAAACCCAGAGACAAAATTGAAATGTCTAAAGTTTAAAGATAAATTAAACTGCAAATGTTGAAAAAAATATATTTTTTTCTTGAACCCTCTCTGTTTTAAAAAAAATAGAAATAAAAAAAAAACATGTATCTCGATGGATAAAAGAAAGCGATGGGTGGACCCTTTCTGGAAATAAATCATAATAAGCAAGCCAGCTCTTTCCAGAGGCCAAGGTGAGCTATTAACAGTTCCCTTCATTGATGTTAATTATCCTGCAAACACAATGTGCTGCAATCAACTTTAAAAGAGAATTGCTGCAGGCTTCACATTTTGAAGGTTGTTAACTTCCATTCTAAATGGATGCAGGAGAAAATCTCCACATCTCTTCCATGGTTCCATCAGGCTGTCACTGTGTCAGCAACGCTGCATTAGAGGCTGTCTCACTGTCAAATAACTGTTATTAACAACGTTGTAAAGAAAGCAGACACTTTGGGCATGACGGCTGTCATAATGAAAACAGAGTGTTGACTGAAATGACTCATCCAGGACTGCGCTCCTCCTGGGGCGTGTTTTCCTGTTTAAGTTCATACTGATGATTTCCGCAACACTGAACCCTAACAGGACCTGATCGTGTCAGGTCTGTCTGTTTCCTGTTCCTGCTGTCTGCTGTGTGGGGTAATCTGTGTCATCACACTCACCTGTGTCTCTGTAATTAGTCTCACTTGTGTCACCTGGTACCCTTTGTATATATACCTCTCTCCCTCACTCTGTCCTGGTGGGGATCATTGTTTTGTATTGGATTGGATTGGATTGGATTGGATTGGATTGGATTGGATTGGATTGGATTGGATTGGATTGGATTGGATTGGATTGGATTGGATTGGATTGGATTGGATTGGATTGGATTGGATTGGATTGGATTGGATTGGATTGGATTGGATTGGATTGGATTGGATTGGATTGGATTGGATTGGATTGGATTGATGTTGTAGTAGCTGTTCCTGGGCAAAGCTGTTGCTGTGCTCAGCTCTGTGTATGCTTTTGTCTAGGTCTTTT